TCCTGATTCCAGGAAAAAGTTCGTAAAATAGGGAAATTCGTAAAATACAGGTTCGTAAAATGGAGCTCCGATTGTACTTAAAACAGTGCAAACTCCCCCCCCCCCCATTTAATGAATTAACTCATTTCAGCTCTTCTTTATCTTGAAAATATGTCCTGAAACCGTCTGGAAAGCATAAAACACACACTCCACACAGACTGTGGATTTCAAATATTACACTTGATGTAACAACGTAAAAAAATGCAGCACCAGCACCATTTTTCTCATTAAAAAAATTAAATTACTACAACTAAGTACATTATTTATTTTAAATTAGTATTTTGTAATATGCTTAAATAAGTGTTTACTTAAAAGAAAAATAAAAGTGTTAAAAAAGTATGTATGTGTAGCAGAGGCAGTTTCAGGCTCATTGAGGAACCTATAAATCACTCAGCCATGTGTTATGAGTCAGGAAGGGGTGTTCAAAATCTTGGGGGTATGTGATATCAGACTGATACATAAAGGTGAGGGATTCAAAGTTAAAAAAAAACGCTGCTTAAAATCATAAAATCGGATAAAAAAAAATCATATTTTATGAAAAGTTATTTTAACCTTAAATATACTGGTAGCAGCAATTTTTTTTTTGGAAAAAATAAGGGTTTTTGTATTTATATTATTTTCAGCAGTACTTCACAGTTATATCATAAATAATTATATACATTTCAGGGGAGGGGAGACATAATGAAAAATTATTTTTTCTTTCTTTATTAAGGCGATACGGTACCCTAAAAATCATTAAACTGTCGAAAAAAAATTTATTGGATTATTTTTGTGATACTCCGAATCTTTATAAATATGCCTGCAAAATTTCAAAGCTTTACCTGTATTTTTCATTAAGTAATGGAGCAATGTTTGATACTAAACAGCAACTACCACGCCTACATTTCAGATTATCTGCTAGAAAAGAGCCTGATAAAAAATGAATTAATTATTTTTCTAATGCGCATCAATGAGATTGACATTATATAAGCAGTAATAAATCATTTTAAGAAAGAATTGTGCAATTCATACAAAAATTCTAGTTGAATTACTTACTGGGAAGAGCAAATGGATTTGGTCAAGATTTAAAAGTTGTGCGTGCTTTTTATGATATTATTATGAATGAAATTAAAACTTCAAAACGGGTTCTCCCAAAGCACAAATACTAAATCTCATTTGGATAACTCAGATAATTAAAAATCTAATTCGCAAGAATAGAAAAACTCTCCCATTTTTATGTATTTGTTTTTGGTGATATATATATATATCCTATGTGTGCGAGATACAATACTTTTATTATTAAAATGTTTTAAGATATTTATTTAAACAAATACACATATACAGTTCTCAGATTATGATGTATTTTACCTATAAATTGTTATTTGATTTTGCTTTTATTCGTGTACAATATTTACCATACGAAGGCTTTTAAAATCATGGAAATAAAAAATAAAGGCATAAACATCTTTTGTACATGTTGTGCATTAGCTCTGAACATGGAATTAGCTCTGAAGTGGGTGCATTTATTTATTTTTTATAATTATTAAGGTAAAGTTTTATGAAATATGGATCTTACATTCGTTTTTTTTTCTATATATTCATTATGGCAGTATACTGTTTAATTGTTCTACATTTGTGCAATTTTTTATGGCAAGTAGTTTTAAATAAGCTAATTAACATTTCATAAAAGTTTCAGAATATTCGATGAATACTATACCATACTATTCTTGAAATGAAAACTTCAAACTTATTTTTCTGCATGTTGAATTTTTGTACATATACTGTTATTCAAAACCCTAAGGCTTTTTTAAGTATGGGTGTGAAATTTTTATACATGTTCCTAAATATATGTTTTGTAAAACTCTGCATGGAATTAGCTCTAACATGTATAGTACTTTTTCTAAAAAATTTCAAAGTCAAAATTAATGTTTTTTTTTGAGAATTTTTGGAAGTTTAACTATAAAAAGATTAATAAAAAATTAAAGAGCAGCAGCAGAAAAAAACCCATGCGCAGTTTTATGTAGTATATTATGAGGTACTTTGAAAAAAAATTGAAAGAAAAGAGACATATTTAAAAAAGCCTTAGTAATTTAAAAAATGCTTAAAAAAGCTAAAAAAATTTAAATTTTACAAACATTTTGCAACAAATTAAAATTTTTTGTATGGAATTATTATTAAATATTAACTTTTATGAAATACAATTAAAACCAAATATCAAATATTAAAAATAAAAAAAAATTGTGAAGATGGTACCATATTGCCTTAACTTGTTTGAAAAACAAACATGGCATCTGATAAAGTTAGCGCCGACTTTCGTTCATAATATATACCCCCTATTTCTTTAATTCCCCCAGTATATATATTAGTTCACTCTCTACCTACATATATCTTGCTCAAATTTTCAATCGTTACTAAAATACTTTCTATTCATCCATTCCAGTTCAAACACATTTTAACTTGCAGTGGATGACATTTGATATTAATACAGTTATTAAGTCATAAATTAAATTAAAAAATGAATAAATAGTAACAAAAATAATAGTCCAATAGCATATATAGAAAGGAAAACCGTTCGTTGTGTCCTTGTAGCACAATGGATAGCGCGTTGGTTTTCTAATCCAAAGGTCGTGGGTTCGAGACTCAATTGGGGGGAACTAATTTCTGAGAATGTGATTCTTTTTACTATGCCGTTATTGGAATAATTAAATTTAATAAAAGAATAAATAGTAACAAAGAAAAATAATAGTCCAACAACTTATATAGAAAGGAAAATTGCTTTCTAATTTTCCACTTAATATTGTGATTCTGTCATATGTGTATACACATTTATATTAATTTTACCTATTTAATAAAAAGCAACTAAAATAAAATTTTTCTTTGATGACCTGAGTAGAAACTGATTTTGAACTTTTTTATATATTACTTGTTATATGTTACAATTTATACCAACCATTTTTGAGATACAAATTTAGCAAATGAAAGTAATTATTTTAAAAAAGGTGCGGCCCTCCGGCATCCTCCTCTACCACAATGTGGCCCTTGAGTTAAAACAATTGCCGACCCCCGAACTAAATGTTAACTAAAACGCTTTTTAAAAAAATGTATCTATTTAATAGTACCATGCACGGAACGACATACCGTATAAAATAAAAATGTTTCTTCTAATTTAAGCAATGGGATTTACGAACGTGGAAGGAAAATATCCCTTTAATTTCGTCGCCATTTTGGACAGGTGCAGTGTATGTTGGGAACACGCAATACTCCAAGGAGCACAAAATGAGGTGATGAGGGAGAGTGATCCTCCTTAATCCTCCTCCTGATTATGTTCTTAAATCTAAATTGTACGCCAAAAAATGTTCTAAGTAACTCAGGAATTTCAATGAAAGTGAGTTTGGGAGTTTTTAACAGAATTTTAAATAGCAAAATCCTCGGGAAGAATAACAATATTGCACAAATAGATTTCAAGATTTAAAGAATTCTAGAGGAAATGCAGTGAAAACACAAATACTAAAATGATAGCAAACAACTTACGCTCAGAAAATGAACGGCAACGTATGCTTCGTACAGCACTAAAATTTACCATCGAGCTGTAAAATTATATAAAATGATTGAACTTCACAACTGTCTTCAGCAGCTGATGTCCAAACGAAATATTTGCTCGAACTGTCAAAAATACTTTAGCTCGTGCGCATGCGTGCTTTTATTGATCAGACACAAGAGCATCTTGGACACGCAGCTAGCCGTACTGCGTGGCGCATGTCTGTTGATATTCCAAGAAAAATGTCTCTTTTTCGGAAGAATCTTGCTTTTCTAATGCCCAACCTTGAATTAATGATTTATTTCTTGAAGAGGGGGGGGGGATAGCCTTTCTTTTATGCAATAAAAATGATTTAAAAATATTTTTTAGATAATTTTTAAAGTTATTCAAAATAATTATAATTATATCAACATCTTTACGTGCACAACCGAGTTAATTCGAAATGTGTGAAATTCTAAATTCTAAATTGTGCTCAAACGAGATAATTCGTACGGAGTCGTATTTTTGCTACTGTAATTTTCACACTCGAATATAAGCGATCGTTATCTGCATTCCTAAGACTGACTACGATTTTTTGTCGTGATCTCATAGATTTAGATAAATTTTATAGTAAATTTTGATAAATATTACTAAAAAGTATCATCTCTTTCATTTGCTAGACATCAACATTTGGAAAATATATAATTTGTATAATAAAAATTGAAAGAGAAAAAAATTTAGTTTTCAAAGGCAAATTAATAGAAAGACATACAATGCTATAGCGATACAAATATAAAAAAAAATTAGATTGACCAAAATCTTCTGAAATTCTATGACTAACGAAATTTCATTTTATCTGTTTTGTTCCACCAATATCAAGTGGCCGCGGTTGCCAAGTGGTCAAGGCATCGGATCATGGCTAGCCTGTCATGAGTTTGAGCCCAGTACCACTGAAGACCCACCGTATAGGGGAGCGATGCACGTTAAATCTGTCTAGAGCTCAAACGTCCTCCTGTTGGTGTGGTGTGGTAGTTAGGAGAGGGGTTTGCCAGCTCAGATGTCGTCCGCGTCACTTGGCCGCGGTTCAAAATTACGCGGTCCGCCGCCAAAAGCCCTCATGTAGCTGAACAGTGCGACGTTAATTTCACTCACTCACTCCACAATATCAAACAAGTAATATAAAAAAAACTATTTTTTTTTCCAGTTAATTCTACTTAGGTCAACAAAGAGAAAATCTTTATTTTAGCTACTTTTTATTAAATAGTTAAATTAATATAAATATGTATACACATATAATAGAATCACAATACTAAGTGACAAAATAGAAAGTGATTTCGTAGCAATTTTCCTTTCTGTATATGGTGATGGACTATTTTTTGTTTGTTTTTGTTACTATTTATTCATTAATTAAATTCAATTATTCTAATAAAATAGTATAGTAAAATTGAAATCATATTCTCAGAAATTAGGTGGGATTCGAACCCAAGATCTTTGGATTAGAATTCCAAAGCGCTGTCCGCTACGCTACAGGGACACAAAGAACTGTTTTCCTTTCTAAATATGCTGTTGGGCTATTATTTTTGTTTGTTACCGTTTTTTCATTTTTTAATTTAATTAATGAGTTAGTATTTGAGAAAAACTGTTTTTACATCAAGTGTCATCCACTACAAGTTTAAATGTGTTTGAACGTGAATGGATGAATAGAAAGTATTTCATTAATGATTGAAAATTTGAAAAAGATATCTATATATATAAAGGAGAAAAGCGACTCACTGACTGACTGACTAATCACGATATTTCCAGAACTATTCAACCTACAGACTTGAAATTTGGTAGACATGTTCCTTTCATAGAGCAGAGATCTGCTAAGAACGGATTTTGCGAAATTCGAACCGCAAGGGGCGTTACGGGGGGTGGTTAAGGGGCGTTATAAATAATTATTTTCAATTTTAAACTACTCGACGTACAATCTTGAAATTTGATAAGCAGATTCCTTTCATTGAGTAGAAATCCGCTACAAAATGAGTTTGGTGAAAATCGACCCCTAAGTGGCGTTGCGGGGGCTTAGGGGGCGTTATAGATAATTATTTCCATTTTTAAACTATTAGACGCACAGACTTTATATTTGATAAATAGATTCCTTTCATAGAGTAGAGATCAGCTACAAAATGGGTTTTAGGAAAATTGACCCCCAAGGTGTGTTGCGGGGGGTTAAGGGGAGATACAAATAATTATTACGATTTTTAAACTATTCGACGCACACTCTTGAAATTTGGTAAGCAGATTTCTCTCATAGGATAGAGATAAGCTACGAAATGCGTTTCGTAAAAATCGACCCCCAAGTGGCGTTGCGGGGCTTAAGGGGCGTTATAGACAACTATTTCCAATTTTAAACTACTGGACGTACAATCCGGAAATATGATAATCACAATCCTTTCATGGATTAAAGACCACCCCCTATGTAATGTGTTTTGTCAAAATCGACCCTTAGGTGGCGTTGCGGGGGCTCAAGGGGCGTTATATATAATTTGTTCCATTTTTTATTTATTAGATGCACAGCCTTCAAATTTGGTAAGCAGATTCCTTTTAAAGAGTAGAGAACCACTAGAAAATGGGTTTCACGAAAATCAACCCCCAAGACTCATTTCGGGGGATTAAGGGGCGTAATAGATAAATATTTCCGTTTTTAAACTATTAGATCTACCTGCTTGAAAATTGGTAGGCATGTTCCTTTCATGGAATAGAGTTCTTCTAGCAAAGAGTAAAACGAAAATCAACCCCCGAGGGTCAAGGGGAGAAAAAGCAAAAATTCCTGTTTTTGAATTGTTAGACCCACATACACTTTTTTTTTTGTGGAATAGGGATCCACTAAGAATGTATTTTACGGAAATCAACTCTTGGGGGAGCAGGGGGATACTGGGGCGAATTGACAAAAAAAATTCTTTTTTTCGAACTACAAGGACTACAATAATGGAATTTGGTTTGCATTTTCCTTTTGATAAATTGAAATCCACTAAGAACAGTCCACGGAGAAAGACTCTCAACGGAATTACGGAGGGTATTAATAGTAAAAACTTCGTTTTTGCTCTATTAGATAGTCTTGAAATTTGGCTTGCATGTTTATTTTACAGAGTAGAGATCCACCGCGAAAATTGGTTTTGCGGGAATCCACTTGGTTATAGAGTTACGAAAGTGCAAACATCATTCTATACTTCAATTTTAGAGATTATTAGAAAATACAAATCAGAGAAGTCGGGTCCTTTTTTATATCAAGAGTTGAGAGTTACAGGTATAATTATATTTTTCAATACAATCGTATTCTTATTACTAGAGCTTAGATATCAATATGTATGTATAAACAGTATATATTTATAAGTCATCGGGAAATACCCAGCGAAGCGGGTGGGTAACGGCTAGTATACGAGTGTGGTCCGATAAGTACTTAGTCTCACTGCCTGATGGTGCCATTATCGCAAGAGAAATACACTATAGTGTAGTACCTTCCTGAAGACGGCTACTGACGAAATTTCAGCCGCATAGGACAAGTAGTTCTGGTTTCAGAGAGTGTGAAAGCAAGCGTGTCCGTTGATTAAAAAAAAATGAAAAAGAAGCAATATTGGTTGGTGATTCGATTCTTGTTTTTGGAAGGGAAATCGCGCAGTGAAATCAAAGAGCGCTTAGATGGAGTGTATGGGACGCTTCTCCTTCGATGGCGACCGTCAAAAGTTGGTTCAACGAATTTCAACGTGTTCGCAAGTCGGTTTTTGATGAGCCACGTCCAGGTGCTTCAAAAACAGCAACCACAGAGGATAACGTGAAGAAAATCCACGATCTCATTTTGGCAGACCACTGATTGAAGGTGCGCGAGATAGCTGAGATAGTAAGCATCTCAAAAGACCACGTGGCGCATATCCTACATGAAATTTTGGATATGAGAAAGCTGTCGGCAAGATGGGTGCCACGTTTACTCACTCCGGATAACAGGCATAACCATGTAGCCCCTTCAGAGCACTGTTTGACACTGTTTAAGCGAGTTTTTGCGTCGTTACGCGACCGTCGACGAAACATGGATCCACTGGTACACACCAGAGACCAAGGAATAATCGAAACAGTGGAATTTACCCTGTGAACCTGCTCCGAAGAAGGCGAAGACTGTCCCATCGGCCGGAAAGGTGATGGCCACCGTTTTCTGGAATTCGCAAGGTGTGATATGCATTGACTACCTGGAGAAGGGCAAAACGGTCACAGGGCAGTACTATGTCGAATTATTGGGCCGATTCGAGGCCGAATTAAAAAGAAAACGGTCCCATTTGGCGACGAAAAAAGTGCTTTTCCACCACGACAATGCACCGACTCACATCTCCGCACTCGCCACGGCTAAAATGAGCAAATTAGGTTACGAACTGCAGTCCCATCCACTATATTCTCCAGATTGGGCCTCGTGCGACTTCTTTTTGTTTCTCTAAATTGAAAATGTCGCTCGCCGGGCAGAAATTTCATTTGAATGAGGGAGTAATCGCCGCCAAGGAGGCCTACTTTGTAGACCTCGAGAAATCTTTTTTTCAGACGGGTCCTCTCAATTCTCAAAGTCCTCCTGTAGACGTGGTGAGGTAGTTCGGAGAGGGGTACCAGCTCGAGTGTCGTCCTCGTTGCTTGGGCATGGTTCAAAGTTACGAGGTCCGTCATCAATAGCCCTCTGGGTCAGAGTATATCATAAGTTAAAATCAAATCTCAATTTGGAGTAAAAAGGGTATAGAAAATTTTAAAAAAAGGCTTAGGTAAAATTCACTATTTGAAATCATGAGAAATATAAATTAATGCAATGACGAAAAAATCAAGCATGTACTTACGGGAGAAATATTTGCTTCGATGCCACTTATAAGTATAAATTATAAAATCACATTCTTTAAAATTTGCTCGCATATATTTTCTTTACAGTTTGATAACGACTATATTGATGACTTCAGATAAGAAACCATGTAGATAATTTAATTAATAAACTTGTATTGCTACTTTTCTTTGATATTTATTTAAATGGGAGGAAAAACAGACGGGGAGATGATATTTGGTTGATTTTTAAAATCAATTACTTTTGACAATATTGAATATTATCAAAAAAAGAATAATTTAGATTGAATGGTTATAAAGCTGGGAAAAAGTTGTAATCAAAATTATTCATTGAAATTAGCACATACTTTGGTAACTTTTGGTTTGATAAAAACTCATCAATCTCGCTGTTTTCTTTAAGGAAAATGTTTCAACTCGATTAATTTACGAGTATTACGGGATTAAAAATAATCGCTTTCAAACGAAATTTGAAATTATTCACATTTCTTTCCTCCTTATTTGTGCAAAGAATTTAGTTAATATGAAAAGAATAAAATGCTGAATCTTTAAATTTGGGGGGGGGGGGGTTAGGGCAAGAGAGAAGTGAAAAAAAACCTTAATATTTATTCCAAGTATAACGGTTAATTATAATTGTATAAGAAATAGTAAATTTTTCCCGCTTGATTGCATAATACAATGCTGGCCATACAAAATGCAACACCGAGAAGAATCAGAGATAGCACAGCGAAATGTGTTTGGCAGATAACAAGTTGTACAAAGATGGTTTCGTGGCAGGAGCGGACACATAACATTTCGTGGGCTGAGCGGACACTTTGAAATTCATCGTGGTTAGAGCGGACACATTCCCCCCCATCTTGGAACAGATTAGATTACCGAATTACAAGGATAAATACATTTTTGCCAATCAAATTTAATTACTTGTATTAAATTGTTAAGATGTTATAGCGCGAATACATTTTAAACATGGCGAAATGTAATAGAAATAAAAACTTTCAGAGTAATATTAAAAAATTAATAGTGAGTAACAATATAATGAAAGGTATGAACGAATTTCTGAAATTTTGTGGAAAACTGCATTTTAGAGTCAAATAAATATTAGAACAGGTGCATTAGCCATACAATTAATTAGTTTCATGAAAAAGGGAGTAGAAATAAATACTAGAAGTAAAATACGCAAGATGTAAGGTTAGTTAGTATTTATTTACTTGTATTTATTTTTCTTTTATCTACTTGCATCTTGCGTATTTTTCTTCTTGTATTTATTTTTACTTCCTTTCATGAAACTAATTAATCATACGGGAACTGCGCCTGTTCTAATATTTATTTGACTCTAAAATACAGTTTTCCACAAAATTCCTGAAATTCGTTCCCCATACCTTTCATTACATTCTTACTTAAATACACCGCTGGCCACCGTAAATGCAACACCAAGAAAGACAAGAAATAGCACAACAAAATTTATTTTGTGGATAACATGTTGACCAAGCATCAAATGATTAAATTTATAGACTTCTGTGAAGTGTGGTTCCTACCAGAATCAATAGCCAGAGAGAAGCCGCCATTGTCTGAGATCACCGCTGCCACACGCCTCGGCATTGATTCAAAGAGATTTTGAATGTGTTCTTGGGATACAGCACACCAAGCAGCTTCCACACATTTCCATAGTTGTTCTGGTGTGGCA